ATATATATATATATATATATATATATCTGTGAGTGTATGGTAGCCGTTTATTAGCCGTTTCCCAACAAGGAATTGGATTTTTGCATTCATTTACCGAGCAGCCATTGCTGTTTTCAGTTGAACTTTATAAAATCTTTCTCTTAAACTATGAGTTTCTAAAGTCTATTAGCTTTTATCTTTCTTTACAATATTGATGGCGGTTTTCTTTGTTTGAAGTACTGTGGAATGTTAATGTCTTTCTCATGTCATTATTTTCTCTTCAAGTTACAATTTGCTGCTGTTAATAGTCCTCAAGTGATGTGGTTTCCGTTATTTGTTACGGTTCTTTGTGATTCTGTAGCGCCAAACCATAATGTTCAAAGAAATATGATATTTACCAAGGCCCTCATGTTCTACTCACTCGAAGCGTTTTTTTTTTCGCCATTGATCTTAGCATGCGGCTGCATACAGCTGACAGTTTAGGTATTTCTAAACGGGTTTGGCGCCGTGCAAGGCATCCATATAAAATCCAAGATATGACGAGGCTATTTAAGAACATGACTCGAGTTTGCACCTTGTTGGTTTGTTTTCTTAGCAATATGCGATGTCAGGTGAAACTATCTCTGGTACAGCCTATTCTATGTTCAGTTCCTTTTTCCCCTGTACATAATTCTCTGTAATAATACATAACATAATTTGTTATAACTGACTAGCAGTAGAGCCCGGCGTTGCCCGGGGATGTAACAGTAAGAGATAGATCAAGTATCGACCATCATAAAGACTGAAAAATAAAATTGACAAAGATTATTGTTTAAGGATGACGGACACGCATGTCTTAATTTTTTTTTTTTTTAATGAATTGGTCAAACCCAAACTCAAACAAAAACATTGTTTTCAATCGTTATGAGTCTATAGATTGAATAGAATTTTATTATAAACAATTTTCTTGTAAATGGAATTTTTAAAGCATTCTGAATGTAAAAATAAAGAAAAATGTGTGCAAGACAATAAGAAACACTACCTGCCAAAAAAAGTGAAGTTTTGTTGAAATCAGTTGAAAAATGTAGGAAATCCGATCCCATATATAAATGAACACACACACACACACACACACACACACACAACCTGGGTTTTATAAGTATAACTCGATATGAGTTGTCCCCCTTTCATTCTCGTGATGCCTCTTAATTGTGTTTTCAAATTGATTTCATGCAAAAACGATTGTGCTTTTCCAATTTTTGGCGATGTCAGAACCACTGCAAAGTAATTTTATGAAGTCCTGTGAAGTTTTGTTGTAATTGGTTGAAAAATGTAGAAAATCCAATCCAATATATAAACGTACAGACACACACACACACATACACACAATCTGCGTTTTATAATAAGTAAGGTTCATACGCCGATATATCTGAAATGTTTAGTATTTACTAATTTCACGTCCTGAAGTTTAATGATGGATTTGGGGAATGTGCCAACAATACTTCCATTTCAGATTCCAGAAAATAATTTCAGTTTTGGAAAGGTTTATCTTGAGTCCCATTTCTTAGAACACTTGACAGAGGATGCTGATATTCTCATCCCATCTATGAACACCTATATCATCGGCATAACCCTCTCATCATGAGTACCTTGGTCTCGGGAAGGAGAGCAGAATTGACGTCTTCTACTGGCAAAATCGTTTGGAATGTATCCTGGAATGTTTAAGTGCACATCTCATCACACCTGTGTTTATATGGGTGTACAATACTATCTGAAACCAATTCAGATCGGGATGAAAGACAAAACTCTAAGGAAAATGGGTTAAGATTTTTGAGGGTAAGAGGGGCAATAAATTATATTACATTATCAGATTCAACAACCAGAGACCAGAATGTTTTATATATATACTAGCAGCATGGCCTGGCGTTGCCCGGGCTTGATTCAAAAATCGTACGACTCATACAGCAATCGCTATCACTTCACTTAAAATATTTTTGCCCTTCCTTGCCTTTAAAGGAGTGCCCTTTGCCGTGCTGATGTTGCTACATGCCTTACTTCTTGCCTATCTAACACTGCGAATTTTTTCTAAGCTCTATAATAAAAATTAAATCTGTTACGAAAAAAGAACTAAACAAAATGAACACAAAACGTTCAGCTTTAAAACAGGACTCGTAACTGGAAAAACCGAATAAAAAAAGAATGTTAACAACAAATACTTTTTCACACCCAACCCAGTTCTGCGAAATCAGAATCAACGTTGAGTTTAAGCAAGTGAATGAGCCAATTGGAGTAATTGCAGATTTAAATTTTTCCCACTTGTGACAAATGCAGCTATCGATTTTTTTGCATGCTAGCATGCTAGTTAACATTCGTGTCAGTCAGTTGTTGGCTCTCACGCTGGCCAATAGAATCTTCCTGCCTATTCGTGGCAGCCAGCTATAGGCTCTCACTCTGGCCAGTAGAAAATGGCCGCAAACTACATGAAAAGTGCCGTAGAAGCATGAAAAAATCGATTATTTCCACTATCGATGGGAGTTGCGAATTGCAAAGTCAGTCTTGGCGTTTCCGCTAACTTGGAGCATGTGCATGTAAATTTTGGTGCAAATCGAAAATTGCGGCCGTGCATTCGTTACACACACACACACACATCCTACCTCATATATATATATATATATATATATATATATATATATATATATATATATATATATGAAAATGTCGTATTATACGATTTAAATATGCCTTTGAAATGACGGAGCGCTTTCTTTTAAAGGGACATTTATCGTACAACATATCTTCAAAGAGATTTGTTGAGATGGCAATAACCGGAACGGCGAAACTGAAAAAGGTACACAAGGTTGGAAGTTTTAATTAAGGAGCTTCGACTAACTAAATTAAATTTATTACTAAAAAACAAACAAACAAATCGGTGTAAGTAAGCCCCTAGTGAGTATAAAACATAATTACTCTCGACCCGACCATGAGACACTTTGAGAATGAAGAATATATACCGTAATTCCCCATGTATAATAATCATTCTTTCTAAAAAATAATAAGCAAAATTAGGTGTGCGTATTATGCCCAGCTACAAAAAAAAATCTTTAAAAAATTGCCGTTTCATGGGTCGATTTCAGTTGGGAAATGACTACTCACCAGTAACATACAACAATTTGGCACAAACATTCGGGGATTGCGACCCCTTAAGGATGTCAAATACAATCATATGTACCTAAAAATACTTACAAATGAAAAAAAAAAAATAAGAACTATCTTAAAACTAAACTAGATTTTTTAATAAGAGTAGGAAACGCTGGCCGTAATGAAATTGGAGAGGTACAATTTATAGGGTTTGATTGCTAAAATAAGGGGTGCGTATTATGAATGAGCAGAAGCATTTTCCCTCACTTTCAGAACAATTTTCGGTGTGCGTATTATGGATGAAGGCGTATTATACATAGGGAATTACGGTATATATTAGAGCCATTGCTGTTTGTCGGAATTTAGATCAACCAGATTTCTCGATTCGAAGTGAATGCTTTTACGATGATCGGCAAAACAGCTAGAAAGCTTCAAAATAGACTATATGAGAATCTGATAACTAATACATCTGACCAGAATTACGACTTAATAAATGACAGTTTGATCAGGCATAGAAACGGATTCATTAAGAAGAAAATACATTGAAAGTTTGCGAATCTCGCAACTTTCGACAATTAAACCAGAACCGTATCACCGATATAAACACACACACACATATATATATATATATATATATATATATATATATATATATATATATATATATATATATATATATATATATTTGGGGGTGTAAAACAACGAAAACACTTTCTGGGTAATGTTTTAACAAACAACGGAAAATATGACACCGCAATACGAAAAGACATTGGAATAGTGAAAGATGCATTCCAAAAGCTAACAACATATTAAGATAGATTATAATTTACTTAGAAACAAAATACGAATTAATTCGTTTTTTTTACGGCTTATCAACCTTTTGCAGGTTATTTAATGACAGAAACTATTTTTAGATTGTAAGAATTTTTGGTGATGTAATAATTGTCTTACTAATTAGTTCGTATCTGGGAGGTGGGAGAGGTGGATTCATACCTAATCAGAATTTTATAAACAAGAAATTCTCATGTGGATATAAAGTGGAGGATCAATTCTATAGTACAATTATTACAAAAAAGTGATCCCTCCCTTTTCGGCCACTGTAGCTTCCATCTTTTCTATTCCAAAAGATGCCTATGTAGGTAATCAGTATTTCATGGATTGATTGATCCGTTTTTTACGGCTTGTAAACTCTTTGCAGATTATTTAAACTTAGAAAATATTTTTAGATTGTAAGAATTTTTTTGTTAATATAATAACGGCTTAGTGATACTAGTCTTACTAATTACTCCATAGCTGGTAGGTGGTGGGGGTGGATTCATATCTAATCAGAATTTGATGAACAAGCAAGAAATTATTATTTGGATATAAAGTGGAGGATCAATTCTATATTACAATCAATATAAAAACTGAACCCTCACTTTTTGGCCACGATAGTTTTTCCCCCATTTATATTCCGCGATATCTGTGTAGATAATCAGTATTCCATGGATTGATTGATTACTTCTCTATAGCTTATCAACCCATTACATGTTATTTAAAGCCAGAAATTTAAATCTCATACTCAGTATAATCGCACTAAGAGAGTCAACTTATAAAATAATGCCTGTTCTTCTTTATTGTTGACTAACTGATGTGTTTCTTTACGGCTTATCAACCCTTTGCTGGTTATTTAATGCCAGAAAATATTTTTAGATTTTAAGAACTTTTTGATGTATAATAAGTATTTACTGGTACAAGTCATAGTAATTAACCCATAGTTGGGGTGCAAAGATGAGCATTCATGCCTTTCCGATGTTATTTGTCTCTAAGTGCATATAACGAACTAAAGTGGAATTGGAACTCGGCTCTCCGATTTCCAATTTAAAGCCGTTATCCATCGTATTAAATACAGATAAAGGCTTACAGACACCCATCTAAGTACTGACCAGGCACGAGGTTGCTTAACTTTGGTGATCGTACGAGAACCAGTGTTTCAATGTGATATAGCCGTAAGCGTATTAAATGCAATATAATATCAAATCTCCGAAATGGCAGTGAATGTTGGATATTAAGAGGAGACTTGAAGAAACAGAAATGTGGTTCTACAGAAGGATGCTGAGAATACCATACATTGACCTTAAGTTTTAAGAAAAATAAGTACGCTCGTGCTTGCGAACAGAAAAAAAGCATTTGAAATTTGTGAAATCTCGTATTTCTTATAGATCTATAAATATACGGCATTAGATATAATTTTCATTCTTCCTATTTTGGAACGGTGGGCATTAATGAATAAAAGAAAAGAGAAGAAAATGCATTGGTTACTGAGCACAAACATTATGATCAGAATTATATTGTTAAAGACACTGGAACAAGAAATGCAATCTTTATGTCAGAATCCTATCGTTAAAGACACTGGAACAAGAAATGTAATCTTTAAAATCATAATGCTGTCCTTAAAGACACTGGAACAAGAAATGCCATCTTTTTGATCGTTCTTACGATTAAAAAAAAGCAGCTGAATTTGGTGAAATCTCGTATCTCTTATAGATTTATAAAGATACAGTATTAAATATAATTTTCATCGTTCCTCTTTTGGAACGGTGGGCGTTAATGGATAAAAAAATAAAGAGAAGAAAGCGCATTGGTGACTGAGAACACTTCTATTTATATTTATATGAAACTTTGGCTAACTTCAAAGAAAACGACCCGACCCAAATGCAATGTCTGTTTTTTGGGTTTTTTTTTTTTTTCAAGATGATTGCCTGATCTTTAGCTGAGATGCCATATCGTCTGACTTTTTCATGATTCTTTTTGGCAAAACAAATGACCATTTCATTAGGGAATTATTTTTCTTCTTCTTATCAGTCTTTGTTTCCCCTTACATTTCTTCTTGTCGATTTTTTTCTTTCCCTTCTTCCTTCTCCTCCTGACCTAATTCCAACTTCCGTCTTCCATGTTTTTTCTCCATTTGTTTTATCGCCTCCGTTTTTTTCTCGCTATCATCTTTCTATTTTCAAGCAAATCTTTTATTGTTTTTTTCTCTTGTTCTTGCTAATGCTATAATCTGCATCTAGATTCTTCACCTTTGTAATTCACATTCTCTCTCGTTTTCGCATTGTCACATCTGTTTATTGTTTTTCTCAGCATTCAAGGCGTTGCACCGACAAATTCGAACAACTGAAACGAACGCAGCAATACGCTAGAAGCACAAAATCTTTAATACATTCAGATGACAATAATTATTATTAAAATATATATATATTACACGTAGCTTAAAACGGTTAACAAAATTAGACCAAAAATATGGCAATAATATGGTATTGTTAAAGATACTGGAACAAGAAATGCAATCTTTATAATCTGAGTGCTATCGTTAAAGACACTGGAACAAGAAATGCAATCTTTATTATCAGAATGCCATCGTTATTGACACGGGAACAAGAACTGCGATCTTTATATTCAGAAGGCTATCAATAAAAATACAGGAACAAGAATTGGGAGTTTTATGACAAAGAAGTTGAGGTGAACCGTGATTGCACACCTCTTGAATAGACATGAAAGAATAATAAGAATAGATAAAGGGACATTTTAATAGTAAAATATAAATATGCATTTCACACTCTGAAGAACAAAGATTATTAATATTAGGTCCATAATAGACAAGAATATATATATATATATATGTGTGTGTGTGTGTGTGTGTGTGTGTGTGTGTGTGTGTGTGTGTGTGTGAAGAAATATAGTCTTAAGATGTGCTATATTTATGGGATAAAGTGTTCAGTATCAGAGATAGAGCCTGTGTAAATATAAAAGTGAACATGGAAGTCAACACTAAGAGGCGACAGTCTGTTTCATGCTAGATGCAATCGTCAGGCCACGAGTGCTGTTATTTTTCTCGGCTATTTATATATATATACGGGTCAGTGGTGCATTGTGGGTAAACTATTTTGGCGGTTATTTTACCGGAAGTCGTTTATTTATTTATTTGGGTTAAATTATTTTGCTTGTTCTTATTTATTTTTATTTTTTATTTTATTTTTATTTCTTATCTTATATATTTATTTATTTATTATTTTTATTTTAATCGGTGTTTTTATTAACGTAGTAAAATTCTGTTTATATAGCTTATTTAATAGTTTTCTTTTGGTTTGGGAAGATAATTAAAGCTATTTATTCAATTTTGGGGTCGATTGTTGTAGTTTATTCTATTATTTTGGCGGGAACAGTTTTTAATTTGTTTATTACTTCATGTATTTATTTGGATTGATTATCTTTATTCGTTTTTTTTTTTCTAACGTTAGTCTTATATATATATATATATATATATATATATATATATATATATATATATATATATATATATATATATATATATATATATAAAACCATAACCAGATATATAGAGTCTAGTACCCAGGTAGTGATCGCCTTAGACCTGAAAGTAGATGGCATTGAAAATGGCTCTTTTGTCATTACTTAAACTTGAGATACCCTAAACTGCTTAAATATGGTGATTTACTAAGCTTGGGATAGTTGCGGCAGAAACCCGAATGAATGGGAGTATCCCGAAGGATCGAACTCTCTACTCAGTCGTAATTGATCTAGCGAGACAAGCTTGCTAACCATTTCCCCACTTCATACACACGCAAGTGGTGAAAAAAAAAACCTGCAAGATGTTCAACGTTAAACAAATAATTTTTTTGCAGAATGAAAGAAAAATGCAATGAATTCGTCTTCGTCCGGGAAACACACATCCACGTTCTTTTTTTCTTTTTTTTTTTTTTTTTCTTGTAAATTCAAAATGAATGAGGAAACAGCATTTTTTTTTCTTCAAATCCAAATAGCCGTTTAATGTGTGCATAATCAAATGGCTAGCCACTTGGCAATCTCAACAAAGTCTGCCCTCTCGAAACAAGCAAATGTAAAGCATCAGTGGTAACGTTAAATTACTGAGCGCATAACGTCTTCTATTTTATCTTTGCTCATTTAGTTTTTGTTGCTATGGATAAACACAACAGAAATCACTAAAACTGATAACAAAACGTAATGCTTCTACTTCCGCTCAATTACTTCCTCTAGAGTCGAATGGATGGGCCTGCTTCTTCATTAAATATATTAGTTCGTTGGTGATTCTTGGAGCATAAAAATGGCTGATTTTTATCCAATACATTTTTTACATGTAACCACTGTCACTAATGCAGTCAAGTCTGTTTCTTATCTTCTAAAATCAAACGGGACTCCAGTTACAAATACTGATTTTAAAAATGTCGCTAATTATATCTCAACAAAAGACATCTCCCTACCGAAAGTTTAAAATTGGGAACATTATTTAAACGCTTTCAGTCCGTGGAATGAAAGTATTTCGAATGACCTTTAGGGACGTCGTTGCGTTTAATGATTATCAAACTTGTGACGTTAGATCGATTACAACTGAGTAATGGCTTCGTTCCTTATTGGGTGCTCCCTATTTTCGGCCTTGTGCCACATCTAAGACTGCTTAGTAAATCACTGTATCGTTAGATCAATTACGACTACGTAGTGAGTTCGATTATCGCTGAGTGCTCCGACACTGCGGCCTTGTGCATATATATATATTTATATTCATCATATATATATATATATATATATATATATATATATATAGTTATATTCGTGCATATATATATATATATATATATATATATATATATATATATATTATTTTCGTACATATATATATATTTATATTCGTATATATATATATATATATATATATATAGTTATATTCGTGCATATATATATATTTATATTCGTGTATATCTATATATAGTTTTATTCGTGTGCATATATATATATATTCGTAAATATATATATATATATATATATATATATATATATATATATATATATAAGCAAATATATGGATATAGATCCGTGAACATGTTTTAAACGGAGCGCTGATATTATAAAACTGTCAGTTATTTGTTTGGATAAGTCTTGTTCTAATGTACATCGTCTTTGTCATGTTATATTGATAATGTTATATTTATAAATATGTCCTGAAGATGGTTTATTAGACCGAAACGTCAGACATTGACATATTAACATTAAAACAGCATAATCGTATATAAGGATTTTTGTTTTGTTTTTTTCGTATATATTTTTCTTCGTATATATATATATATATATATATATATATATATATATATATATATATATATATATATTCGTTCATATACAGGGTGACCACAAAAAACGGGAATTTTTAACAATACAATAAAACCAAGAGTGATGGAAGAAAAATATTTTATTCATAGTAATTGAAGCCTTAAAACATGCCATTTAAGAAACAATGATGGAATTTTCATTTTTTAAAAATTACGTCCTGTAGATGGCGTCCTCCTGTACGAATGCATTCTTGAAATCTGCTGTTGAGATTCCTCATTGACTGCTGCAACATCTCAGCTGGGATACTGTGAATTTACATCTTGAATTCTAAATGGTGAAATGTTTACTTGCTCAAGGTCACTGTCTTGCAGTGTTGCCACTTGCTCATGCCTGGCAATAAGCACTTAAAAAATTCCCGTATTTTTGGGGTCACACTTTATGTAGTTATATTCTTGCATATATATATATATATATATATATATATATATATATGTGTGTGTGTGTGTGTGTGTGTGTGTGTGTGTGTGTACTTATATTCGTGCATATATATGTAGTTATATTTGTGCATATATATATATATTCGTGCATATATATATATATATATATATATATATATATATATATATATATATATATATATATATTTATATTCGTATATATATATATTTATATTCGTGCATATATATATATATATATATATATATATATATATATATATATATATATATATATATATATATATATATATATATATATATATATATATTCGTATATATATATATATATATATATTCGTATATATATATATTTATATATATATATATATATATATATATATATATATATATATATATATATATATATAT